CTGCACACTCCTTGAACAATAATTTTTGGACAATTTGTTTCAAGAAGGCTCAATAAAAAATAATGTTTGAGCACCGTACAAAGAATTCAGCCTCAATAAAGCATTAAAGTCACTAAGCGCCTCCCTCGCACATTAAATAAGTCTACATTCTCTATAAACTTGAATAAATGGCACACAGTCGCTCTGGAGTTTCTCTTAGTATCTCATAAATGGTTGCGGAGTCTAAAGTGTGTGAGCACAGGTCACTCCAGAGCCACGGCCTCCATTGCGTGCTGGACTCTGTCTTCATTAAAGTTTCGAGAAACCATGCCTTTGCATTTCTGCCTGTGAGCTGAATAGGCCACGGGTAAGATAGAGTGTGTGTGTGTGGAGATGACCACTCCACAGCAGCTGTCTGTCCAGCTTGCAGGGGCATCGGTACACAAAAGCCCCTCTCCCCTGGGGCAAGACTCACAGGGCAGGGGTCTAAGACCTCTACAGAGAGAGCACAAGAGCGACAGAATGCAGGAAAGCCAGAGAAAAACACTGGAGGAAGAGAAGGCTGAGTGCTGAGAAAGAAAGAGCGCTTCACCCCCTCACCTTCAGGACCCCTGTTTGTCCCCGAGCGCCCGACGTGTAAGAGAGAATTCCTGAAGAGATCACAACAGGTGCACAGTGGAGAAACGCTGAAAAAAAGAGAAAAACAAAGAGAGAAAGGGTGAGAGTGCAACAGGAAGACAAAAAAGACACTTAAGTCCAGTGTGACTTAAAAGAACTGACTCCAGACCTGCTGTCAACAGGTACCATCAAATATTTAATATTGAACATTTAAATTTCCAACATTGATAATAAATCAGCATATTAGAATGATTTCTGAAGAATCTGCCCCACTGTATGTATGTATATATATATATATATATACACTAATGCAGTTTTTAACTATGTAAGTAACACGTAAACTTGCTAGGTGGCATAATATTTTACAAAAGGTAGGAAAAGGGTGAAGCAAAATTAAGCAAAAGTGTCTCTGCACACTCCTTGAACAATAATTTTTGGACAATTTGTTTCAAGAAGGCTCAATAAAAAATAATGTTTGAGCACCGTACAAAGAATTCAGCCTCAATAAAGCATTAAAGTCACTAAGCGCCTCCCTCGCACATTAAATAAGTCTACATTCTCTATAAACTTGAATAAATGGCACACAGTCGCTCTGGAGTTTCTCTTAGTATCTCATAAATGGTTGCGGAGTCTAAAGTGTGTGAGCACAGGTCACTCCAGAGCCACGGCCTCCATTGCGTGCTGGACTCTGTCTTCATTAAAGTTTCGAGAAACCATGCCTTTGCATTTCTGCCTGTGAGCTGAATAGGCCACGGGTAAGATAGAGTGTGTGTGTGTGGAGATGACCACTCCACAGCAGCTGTCTGTCCAGCTTGCAGGGGCATCGGTACACAAAAGCCCCTCTCCCCTGGGGCAAGACTCACAGGGCAGGGGTCTAAGACCTCTACAGAGAGAGCACAAGAGCGACAGAATGCAGGAAAGCCAGAGAAAAACACTGGAGGAAGAGAAGGCTGAGTGCTGAGAAAGAAAGAGCGCTTCACCCCCTCACCTTCAGGACCCCTGTTTGTCCCCGAGCGCCCGACGTGTAAGAGAGAATTCCTGAAGAGATCACAACAGGTGCACAGTGGAGAAACGCTGAAAAAAAGAGAAAAACAAAGAGAGAAAGGGTGAGAGTGCAACAGGAAGACAAAAAAGACACTTAAGTCCAGTGTGACTTAAAAGAACTGACTCCAGACCTGCTGTCAACAGGTACCATCAAATATTTAATATTGAACATTTAAATTTCCAACATTGATAATAAATCAGCATATTAGAATGATTTCTGAAGAATCTCGTGACACTGAAGACTGGAGTAATTATGCTGAATATTCAGCTTTGATCACAGGAATAAATTATATTTTATTAAAATAGAAAAACATTATTTTAAATTGTAATAATATTTCACAGTATTACTGTTTTTTTCTGTATTTTTGATCAAATAAATGCAGCCTTGGTGAGCAGAAGAGACTTTTAAAAAAACATAAAAATATGTTTAAAATGTATATAATATATAATGTTTTTTATTTTTTAAATATCAACATTAATATAATTATTTACAATGTTAATTTATAAAATTATATTAATGATGACAAATTAAATTTACACAAAATTTCCTAAATCAATTTTTATATTACACCATATTTAATATTATTATTACTAACTATTAAGCTTCTATTTTTTAAATTTTATATTCATTACTATAAACTATGAAGTTTGCTATTTTTAAAATACACAAATATAATTAAAAAATAACATACACACATATAGATTTATTATTTATTATTGTAACGTATTTTTATATTTATACATTATAATAATTTAATGTTATTTAATAATAAAAAAATATAGTAATATACATATATATATATATATATATATATATATATATATATATATATATATATATATGTGTGTGTTATATCAG